GGTGATCAAAGAACTGGCCACTGAGTCCATGTCAGAGACAGCACCTGCTCACCTTACTAAGGAATTCATGTGGATTCCCTAGTAAGGCTGAGCTTTCATGGGCTACATCTGAGCTGGAGGTCTAGGTCTTCTCCATGCATGGTCCTTGGTTGGGGTATCAGTCTCTGCAGGCCCTCCTGGGCCCAGGCTCTGTTGTTCTCCTTGTGGAGGTTCTGTTCTCTCCAGGTCTTTTTATCTCCTCTTCTTCCATAAGGATTCCTGCACTCTGCCCAAAGTTTGGCTATGAGTGTCAGCATCTGCTTCCATACCCTGCTGGGTAGAGTCTTTCAGAGGCCCTCTGTGGTAGGCTCCTGTCCTGTTCCTTATCTTCTCCTACTTCCAATATCTATCCTGTTTGCCTTTCTGAATGAGGACTAAGCCTCTTCCCTAGGTTTCTCCTTGTTGTTTAGCTTCTTTAGGACTATAGATCTTAGTTTGTTTATCCTATATTATATGGCTAATATCCACTTATATGTGAGTGTATAACATGTGTGTCTTTCTTAGCTCACTCAGGATGATCTTTTCTAGATCCCACCATTTGCCTGCAAATTTCATGATTTCCTTGTTCTTAATTGCTGAGTAGTATTCCATTGTGTAAATGTACCACAATTTCTTATTTTATTTTGAGATAGGCTGTCACTATGTGTGCCAGACTGTTTACCAACTCAGAATCCTCCTGCCTCAACCTCAACAGTGGAGGGATTACAGCAGTATGTGTCATGCCTGGCAATCTTTTCTCTTTGTCTCTTTTTCTTTCCTTCTCTTTTCTTTCCTTCTCTTTGCCCTTCCTTCCTTCTTTCCTTTCTTCCTTCCTTTTTTCCTTCCTTCCTTCTTCCTTTCTTCCTTCCTTCCTTCTTTCCTTCCTTCCTTCCTTCCTTCCTTCCTTCCTTCTTTCCTTCCTTCCTTCCTTCCTTTCTTTCTTCCTTTCTTTCTCTTTCTCTTTCATTCTGAGATGGGTCCCTGTGCCTTGTCTAGCCTGGAGTACTGTCCCTGCTTGAGCATCCTGAGTCATTGAAGCTCTAGAGAAAACCAGCTAGGGGTTCCTCATTTTTACCCATCTTTCCCTTTATGCACACCTTTATTTTATTTGCTTATGTTTTATTTTAAAAAGCTATTTCTTATTCCAATGTTATAAAAAAAAATCCTCCATGTTTCCTTCCAGAAGCTTTCTAGTTTTGCCTTTACATTTAAGAATTTTAATCTACCTGGTATTGATTTGGTCTGATGGAGATTTAGCTTCATTTCCCCGCACAGATCTCTAACAGCCACATCCATTGTCGGTCCCCATCGATCTGCCGTGTCTGGAAGACAAAGTTTCCCACCGCGCTTGGCTTATTCCTGCACTTCATGTGGTCTGTTTGGCTCTCTGCGGGATTTCATTGTCTCAAGGACGACAGACTTAGGGTGCTTCTCATCTTCAGGGATGCATGGCCTTTCTTGTAATTTTGGCTCTTTTCAAATACACTTTACCAGCTTGTTGAGTCGGGGTAACCATTAGGCTTTGGGGTGGGAGGAATTCCACGAACTCCTCCCAACTGCTGCATTTAAGTTTAAATAAACAAAACTACAGCTGTCCTGGTGGCTAAGACCTTGCAAAGTCTTGGGAGCTGAGGCAGGAGGATAACACAGTCAAGGGTTCCCTGGTCGGTTTCACTCTCTTTAGGAGTACAGCCAACTGAGACATGGGAAGAGGAGAAGACTCGGAGAGAAAGAGAGTGATGATAGAGGTGCGTACGTAGCCACAAGCACAACACATAAATGCATAAACACAACTGTGAAAAAAAGGCCAGGGACATTGAGCTCAGTATAGACAAAGGACAAAGAATTTGGTTAGCTCAGCTTGAAGAGCTATCAACCACAATTACAACGAAAGAGTAAATGCCCTGTTTTGTTGATGATCAAATAGCATTGATCATGAGGAACAGCATGAGCTTTCTGCGCCACCAAAGCCACTGTCTCTTACTGAGAGGTGTGACCCCACTGTACAATGAATGCATCCTGATTTCAGAGGTTTTGAAACGTGGAGAAAATGCGTTTTATTGATTGTATTAAGCAACTGAAATGTAAAACTCGGTTGATCGATTAAATTACATGTTAAATTCAGTTGATGAGAAAGTTACAAATATTAGGTGTAAATTAATTCGCTTGTATGTAACTCAGAAAGACAGTGAAATAAGACTATAAAAAAATGGTTTAAAGCCTGGGAGGATGGCATGAAAAGGCCTAACATCTCTAATCAGAAGCTCCAGATGGAGGTAAGAGAGACCGGAAAGAAGACAATATTTGAAAAACACAATGGCTGAAAAATTTGAAAATAGTGGTAATATCCAAATGCAGTAAACTAAGTAAGTCTCAGGCAAAACAGAAGAGGAAAAGTCTGTGCTCAGGTACATTATGATTCCTGAAGTTATAAATGATAATAAAACAAAAGCAAAAGAGATCTTCAAAGCAACCGGAAATGAACAAAACCTACCAAAAACAGAGCAGCCAGTCCAACTGATTAAACAGCAAAATGGGAGCCAGAATACTGCATTATGGTTCCAGCCTGTTGGGAGAAAAACAAAAATCAAGGCATTTATAGCTATTAAAACTCCTTCAAGAATGAGAGTAGAACAAAGACTTTTCAAAGAAATCAAAACAAAGAAAGAAAATTTTCAAGAGAGAGACTCTAAGCAAATGGAAAAATGCCCTAGGTCTGAGGTACCCTTTCTGTGAGGAGGAGCTGGGGGCAGGAGGGGGCTTGCTGGCCCCTCGGCAGTCTGGCTGGCCTTTAGGACTGTATGGATCTGCTTTTGTGGCACCCCAGCGCTGCATCTAGAAAGATGCTATAGAAGAGGTTGCATTCTGCATCCTGGTGGCTCCGTTTGGAGCAGGACTGTTTGGGTGTTTAACCATGCCCTCTTGTAGGAAATGAAAGTCCTTCAATGAAATTGTCTAAGAACAGACCTGGCTCTGTGGTTTCTGTCCTTAGTGCTCTTCCCTGGCAGCTCACCTGCTGCCAGCTTTTCATTGTCAACTCCCCTGTTGACATTGGGCCAAGACCATGTCGGGCTGGCTTGCTCAGATCTCAGCAAGTGTTTGGCACACAGCAGGCGTTCCGGTAGACCACTTATCAAGTAGACAATTATGAGTGAGGAGCCATGTGAACTGTTTTGTTAAACACATATATGTGTTTCTACCTCAAAACCAGCCATTTGCGGGACTCAGAGGGTGGGTGAATTCCCATTGAGCGCTCATGTCCCAGATGACAGACATTCCCTACGCTGGATTAATTAATAAGAACAAAACAAAAGTTTCTCGGGCATGTTAAGGGGTCAGCCAACTGTCTTCCTGGATGAGGTGGGGGTAGAACGCTTCCATTATCGTGGAGAGTTCTATTGGAAGTGCTGCCGTAGAATTCTCCAGAATTCCTAACGGCTCCTCTTTCTCTCTCCCTGCCCTCACTCTCACCCTAATTCTCTCTCTCTCCCTCTCCAGCTTTCTCCCATTCCTAAACCAAGCACAGGGATAGCTGTCTCATTGTTAGTGGCTTAAAATGGTGCTTTTGAACAAGGGGACCCTGGGTGCTTCCGGTGACTAGAGCCACGCCCACTCTTTCTTTGGGATCTCTGAGCCATCATTGACCAGCTCTTTCTTTTACTCTTGTGGCTGCTAAAGCTGTACAATTGCTTTCTTTTCTAGGTCCTTAAGCCCTTTGCTAATGTTACTTTCTGAACGTTTCCAAAGCTGGGGTTCTAGGAGAGTTTGGCCCGTCTGAACAGTTGACCCATGAAATGATGGAGTAGGGCAGGCAGGGTGGAGGGCGGGGCCAGCTATCAATAGAAGAGTGACCCTCTCTACACACATGGCCAGCTAATTGGCCATTGTGGGAAAGCATGGGTGGGGGAGGGGCGGCTGAGAATCTCTAGTGACAGTTAAGTGGCCTTTGTGGACAGAACAACTCGCTGAATCTTGGCTCAGACTCTTCCTACCTCTTTGAGGTTTTCTATTACATTCACCCTGTGACACTCAGGCCCCATCTTTTGCTCCACTCTTTCAAGATGACGCCACTGTGTGCCGGCCTCTGCTTTATTACTGCTATTCCCAACCCTAAGGAGGCTGTGTAGTGCTTCAGTGGGACCGAGAGATGGACTCTGCTGTTTGTTGAAAGAACCATACAAATGACTGTCACGGCCCTCACGCCCTGCAGAAATGGCTCCACTACCCTCAGTAGAGCGGTAACTACCTGACGGCGGAGACGAGGGGTCTTGGCTGAACGCCTTCTCCTGTACGATAGCGATTTCCTTTGCTCTGCTCTCCCCCCATCTTCCCTATTGCAACAGGACTACAGACCTGTGACTACGAGTTCACGCTTCAAAATAATAAGACATTGTGTGTCACAGGCTCCAGGCAGTCCGTCCAGGTTGCCTCTTCTAATACCCCAGGCCTCCTGGGAGGGAGGGAGGGAACACATTCTTACCACCCCCAGCTGGCGAGTTAGCTCTCTGAGGTCAGGCCAGGTCAAAGGCCCCGGTTCTTTTACAGAGGGCCTGAGCACCCCAGCTCCCTGCCTCGCAGCCCTGTGACAGCCCGATGGTGGCAACCCTGATCTTCGTAAGGAGTATGTGCCCCAGTGACAGTGTGAGCGGGCAGGAAGGAAGGAGAGCAGGAGAGCACTTGTGCAGACAGCCTAGGGCCCTTAGCTGCTCTTCTCTCTCTGGAGATGGAGGGTCCTCCTGAGAAGGCTGGAGCAGGGAACTTCCTCCCCACCCTAGACAGAGAGGAAGGGTCTTGTCTTCCTTTTCCCACTTCCCAGGAAAGGAGGGAGAGGGTGGCCTGGCTTCCAAGGCCTGGCATGTGGGTGCCGTATGCCAGGCCCCTTAGAGCCTCCTGTCCACGCTAAGGCCTGGCCTGCCTGCCCTTAGGCCTAGGCCATGCCCAAGCTGGAGGAAAGCTCTTCAAGCTTGCCTGGAGAAAGAAGCATGCAGGGCACCCTAGGAGGAGCACTGGGCCCTGGGCTGTCCCCTGTGGTCAGACGGACACTTCTGGTCTGCACCTTCTTCCTGGCTGTAGTTTGGAGCCAAATGAATTTCACTGGGTGAGTGGCCGCCATGTGGGGGTGGGGTGGGAGACTGGCTGGAGGAGACCTGAATGCCCTGAGAGTGTGTGTGTGTGTGTGTGTGTGTGTGTGTGTGTGTGTGTATGTGTGTGTGTCTGCCTGCCTGCCTGCCTGTCTGTCTGTCTTGTCAGTCCTCCTGAGAGGGACCAGATAAAAGCTTTAGCTCTCTTCCAGAACCCACCTCAGATTCCTTGGTCTCTCACCTGTCCTCCAGGGCAGACATCTTGGCTTTGTAATTATTCCCTCCAAATCCAGAAGCTCAGGGTTCAGTGTTCAGGGCCCTGAGAGGATCCCTAAAATAGAGACTAGTTGGGAAGAGGAAAAGGATCCAAAGAAGTGGGAGGGGACAAGAGAGGATAGTGAGAAGGGGGCAAATAGGATCAAAATACATTATATGCATGCATGAAAAAGTCACAATGAAACTGTTATCAATTATAATTAGTATACACCAGTAAAACAAACAAATTAAAAAAAAAAAAAAACCTCCTAAAATTGCATGCAACAGATTTTATGCATGCTCTTCTTTAGGGCTGAAGGTTTAAAGTTCTCCTCAAATGCTTGAGGAAATAGTAACCCTGATTAGATTATGTCTTCATGCCCACAGTAGAGGTGCTATGATCCTTTTTGAGCACCAGCAGGTTCAAGTGCCCACAGCAGGCCTTCCAATGTCCCAGAAGGCAGATCTACAGACGCTCAGCAAGAAAGAGACACAGCTTAGCAACGGAGTCCTGTCCCAGGCCCAGAACCACACAGGCTGAGCACCAGCACCATCCCAGACACAGGCGCTCACAGTGTGGCACTCACAATATGGCCTCCAGCCCATCGTATCCTGCCTACCCAGATGGAAGGGAAGAAGCAGAGCAGCCTGCCTCAGGGGTGGGATCATCTGATCTCCCCTTCCCCTGGGTTCGGCACATGGAGCCATCGTTGCTTCTCCAGCCCTGTTTATTCCGTCCCTCTGTCCCTCCCACCTCTTCACCCTCTGGCTCCATATCTTCTGTCCCAGTCACCCTCTTCTCCATGCTGCCTCTTTTCAGTCCACCTGGCGTTCCAGGAGGCCTTCCTAGCTCTCTTCACTCTCCCCTTGTTTCCCCAGAGACCAGGTTCTTCGAATCCTGGCCAAAAATGAGAAGCAGCTGTCACTTCTGAGGGATCTGGAGGGCCTGAAGCCCCAGAAGGTGAGGCTTGCTCCTGGGCCACAGTGCCCACACCTCAGCTCCTTGTTTTCTCCTCTGACTCCTTTCTTCCTGAGGTCTCCAACACTTAGAATCTGGGCAACTCCAGTGTGGCTTCTCCACCATCTGTTAGGGACGTGTCCCGTGATGTTGGGTGGCCTCTGTACGCTGGGATTCCTCTAGCTTTCCCTTCTGTCCTGGGTGGGGTGGGGGAGGGGATGAGGAGCACACTCTGAAAACAGCTGCAACGTCCTAAAGCCGTGGGAAAGCACAGGTGTCGTGGTGCCACGCAGTGCGGGCCCTGCTCACGTCTGCCTTCCAGTTGGAATGGCTTCACTTGGCAAATGTATTGTATTTGGGCCTGTGTCTGTCAGCCTGGTGTCTGTTTTCAAGAACATTTGTCCTCTACAAGTTTTCGCAATGGAAAACATTTTCTGTGGCAGTTATAGCAGAGCGCTTTTGTCTGAGGGTTTGCCGAACAGCTTTTCCCGGATGTGGCCCAGAAATCATGCTGCTCTTTCTACGAGTGTCCCTATCAATGAGGGAGTGTCTCCATCTTTACAAATCTATAGGCCGACATAAGGCACGGGCTCTGGGTTTGCCTCTTCTCAGGCGACTAGAAGTGATGCCCTCTGCCTTCTGACCTGGGTTCGTGTCCAGCTAGTGTCCCAGGTATCATGTGTAGGGGCTCTCAGGCTCTGTGGTCCGGATTCAATGAGTGAGGCTAGGGGTAAAGGTAACTAGGAAACGGGACGGCACCTCGGTGAGGATGGGATTTATTCCTGTCTGTGTACCCCAGGATTTGTTTTTAGTGGAACTGGACCCCTCTGCGGTGTAAGAGAAACCTGGTTCTGCCCCAGGGTGCCTGCCAAGTGTGTGAGGCCAGGCAGCAAGCACAGCCGGGTTTCCTCCTCCTTTCTGTGAGCAGGTGGACTTCTGGCGTGGCCCGGCCAGACCCAGTCTCCCTGTGGACATGAGGGTCCCCTTCTCTGAGCTGCGTGACGTCAAAGAGTATCTGAAGGCTCACGGCCTCGCTTACACGGTCATGATAAAGGACATCCAGGTGAGTTCCAGCCCTGGTCACAGTGAGTTTCCCACTTTCCATTTTCCTTTTTGGTCGGTTCATGCCATGGAGGGGGGGAAAACCAACAACAAAAACAGCACAAAACCAAATAAAACCAGCCTCAGGGTAAGGGCAGACATCTTGCTTGCCCAGCTGCAACCCTGTGGGGATAGTACAGAAGAGATTAAATTGTACGTTTCCAGGCTTGGGGATGTAGCTTAGTTTGGTAGAGTATTTGCCTAGTGTGTGTGAGTCCTTGAGTTCAGTGCTTGGCTCTGTGTAGAGCAAGACATAAAACTGGGCATCGAGGCACACATCTGTAACCCAGTACTTGGGAGGTTAAAGCACTAAGTTCAAAGTCATCCTGAGCTGTGTAGTGAGTTCAAGGCCAGCCTAGGGTACCTGATGGACTGTCTCAAAAACAAAAGGCAAAGGAGACAGAACACATGAACACACACAAAACCAAACCAAACTAAATAGAACATGAAAAATGTACATTTCTAAGAGAAAATTGAAGTCTTGGACAGAGTTTCCTCATGGAGGCAGAGAGAGAGTGTGGCAACTGTGGACATGACCTCTTCTGGAAGGCTAGGCAGCTACTAGCAAAGCATGAGGGAAAATGGAGGCAGAAGGGGACAGCTCCGGCCCTTCCCAGACACCCCTGCTGACCCTTCTGCTTCTCCAGCGGCCCCTCCTGTCCGTCCGTTAGGTCTTAGACATACATTAGGTCTTAGACATACAGTGCCAGAGGGGTCCTGTTGGGGGAGGGAGCACACAGAACCCCGCTGTGCTTTGCCCTCTGAGAACCTCCCAGAGGGGGTTCTTCCAGCCACTGGGGGGGGTATGGCAGACCCTGGTTAAAGCAGAGAGCGGCCTCTAAAATCCCCCTCAATTCCACATCTTCCACTGTCTTTTCTGAGCACTGTGAAAACTGGTTTCTTCTGCCCTGTGTTAAAGGACACCCCAAAGACCCTACCAGGTCTGGGGAGGTGGCTCAGTTGGTGAAGTGCCCAGTACTCAAACAGGAAGACCTGAGATCGCCAGCAGCCATGTCAAGCACAGCTGCTGCCTGTAATGCCAGTGCTGGGGTGCTGGGGTGGAGACAGAGGGATCCTGGAGGTTCTGGCTAGCCAGTCTGCAATCAGAGAACAAACAGGTGCAGGGAGAAAACTTGTCTGAAGAAATAAGGTGGAAAGTGATTGAGGAAGACATTGACTCCTGGCCCTTATGTGTATTGTATGACAGAGACAAAGACAGAGACAGACAGACAGAGACACATAAACACAGAGACAGAGAGGAGAGGGTAGAGAGAAGAGAGAGAGGAGATAGGGAGAAAGAGAGGGGGAGAGAGGAGAGGAAGAGAGAGGAGAGAGAGAGGAAGAGAGAGGAGAGAGGGGAGAGGGGAAGAGAAGAGAGAGAGAGGAGAGAGGAGAGAAGAGACAGGAGAGAGGGGGAGAGAGGAGAGGAGAGAGAGGGAAAGAGGAGAGAAAGAGGAGAGGAAGAGAGGGGAGAGAGGAGAGAGGAGAGAAAGGAGAGGAAGAGAGGAGAGAGGAGAAGAAAAGAAGAGAGAGGAGAGGAGAGAGAGGAGAGGAGAGGAGAGGAGAGAAAGAGGAGAGAGAAGAGAGAGGAGAGGGGGAGAGAGGAGAGAGAGGAGAGGAAGAGAGAGGAGAGGGGGAGAGAGGAGAGAGAGGAGAGAGGAGAGAGGGGGAGAGAGAGGAGAGAGGAGAGAGAGGAGAGAGGGGAAGAGAGAGAGAGAGGAGAAGGGGAAAGAGGAGAGAGTAAGGAGAGAGGAGAGGAGAGAGAGGAGAGAGGGGGAGAGAGGAGAGGAGAGAGAGGAGAGAGGGGGAGAGAGGAGGTATTGGTAGCACAGCCTCCTTCCCTAACAGGTCTTTGGGTACCACTCAGATGCTCAGGCTCCCAGGCTGTATCTTTGTGCAGATTCTGTTATTGTCCATATACCTGTAGAATTGCATCCACAGAGATTCATCCCTAAACACAGTGCTCCGCACTAATCTCTTCTAAGGGCTCAGAGTGTGGGAACATGGAGCCTCCCAGCGCGCACACACTTGACACCGCATGCCAAGGGATCAACGCATTAGGCAGCATTCCTTTCCCAGGCCAGCCCAGGGCTGGGGCACTGGGTCCATTCAAACAGACACATCTGTTTCTCGCTCAACACGAGGGGGTGGGATGTTTCTCTAATTAAATCCCCCACAAACAAAAATGGGGAAGCTCACAGACAAAAGAGGCTGCCACATCAAAGAACAGAACCGGGTTCTCAGTTTTAGCCCATGCCTCTATTTTGAAGTTCCCGTTTCCCCGCTTGTGCTGCGCCAGCCCTGGGAACCCAGCAGCATCTGGCAAACACAAGCCTCAACAAAGTTTGTTGATTTCTGCATGTCAGGGGCATCCTGTGGGTCACTCCTGAGCTGCCCTCATGGGTCCCTCCAAGAGAGAGCATCTCCTGAGCTCCTGTGGGACTTGGTTCTCCTTCCCAGGAAAAAGCCCTCAACCTGCTGCTCTAACCTCTGCAAAGCAAATCTCAAGCCGGGACTGCCATCCCTGAGGTCATTCTGTGGGCTAGGAGGGCACCTGGTTGATTTGTGGTGGCAGCGGGGGAGGGTTGCAGGCCAGGGCCTCAGGAGCACGGACAGCTGGAAGGGCTTTGCACACCCAGGCTGATGGGTGAGCTTGTTGGAGACACACAGGCTCAGCCCTCACTGGCAGTACCCCTCACTGGCAGTACCCCTTCAGTGCGTCTTGAATGAGGTCAGTGTGTTCAGGCTGGGCATGTGCAGGGGTCCTCAGTCATGTATTGGTCTCCCCCAGACTCAGTTGCATTTCTCTTGTCCATCTGTGCACCCCTGGCCTTGGTTAGGCCTGAATAAGTGCTAGCTGAATTAACATATACGAGAAGGTGAGGGAAGGGAGATGGATTTCTCCCTGGCCGTGAGGGCCAGGCACAGCCGATCACGGAAAACCTGGCTGGTGGTTTTGATTTTTGTGCAGAGACTGGAAAGAACTTTGAGGAGGGGACCTTTTCCTCCCTTCTCCTCTGCATCCGGGAGTGCTTAGAAAGGCAGGTCCACTCACTCCACCTGCAGAGACATGTGCATGCCTACTGTGTGCTGAGCATTGGGCGAGGCGCTTGGAAACTCAGAAACTCTAAAGAGAAGCAAATTCACCATACTCAGGGCGGTATCAGGGGAGCTGGAGGGGTGGGCGGGAAGGCGGGGAGAGGTGGGTGATTACAGTGGAGTGGCTGAGCGCCCTGATGGAGCACACACAGGTTGCTATGGGAGCGGGTACCAGAGGCTCTGCACGTCCCGCTCTGTGAAGCAGTAATTACCCATGCGTGCGTGCTGACAAAAAGGGGGGCCTGAGGGAGGAGGCCCCCACCCGGATTTAATGATGGGACTGGGCCCCATTGTAAAGGGTATCTTCTGCCCAGTGAGGTGGGCGGAGGGGAGGCTTAGGACAATCTTTTACACCGCCAGATTTGCATTTCAGAAACCACTCTTACTGAGGCTGTGTTGAGCCGGGGACAGGGCCCCTGAGACTGACAGGCAGGAGGGTGGTTGGGAAATTGCAGTGGGCCAGGCAAGAAATTATCTGATTCTGAGGGTGCTTGATTTGCATTTAATTTTTCTTCACCTCTTCATTCTTTTCAGTCCTTCCGTGTTTTTTTTTTTTCCTCCCTGGGATGAGTCACTACGGAAAGGCTTCACTTGAGCAATCAGCGCTTTGGATTTTAATGGCTTTTTTCTGATTACAAAATTAATAAATATTCATGTTAGATAATTTGGAAAAGAGGGGAAAAGCACAAGAAGAAAACAAAAATCACCCACGCTTCTGGCCATCCAAAAAGGAGTTTGATTTAGCAAAACCCTGGCTTCAGGGCTTGTCCACACAGGCATGCAGTAGGCAGATATTGAGCCTGTCTGGAGAAAAGCCTCCCATTCCACCTCTTCCTGTCTCTAGCTATTGCCTGTCTTGCTTCCTTCTAGAACATAACTAGAAATACTGACCATTTGTCCTGCCCACCTCCATCATCCGCTTTAGCAGGCTGTCTGCTCCGCACTTCACCAAAAGGGGCCTGAACAAAAGCACAGGGCACACTCAGTCCAATTTGCTTCTGACTGCACATGGATCCTGGGGCGGGGCAGGGAGTCTCTCCTCTGGCCTCCTAACTGTCCTGTCCCCAGCTCTCCTAGCTTCCTGGTTGCTCAGGGGCCTTCTGGGTACAAAGCTGCAGAGTCATTCTGGATCCTTCTCAAACCCTCCACCCAGCCTCCCACCAGTGTTCCTGTGTATAGGAAAACTCAGATTGCTCTCTGCACGTAGGTCCAGGCCAACAGAGCTACCCCCTGCCTCCACATGACCCTTCTGTCTCCAGCTGGAGTCTTCCTGGACTCTAGGGCCTTCTGTAGTTTGTGTCTGAGGGTTCTTGCAAGCTCTACAGGCACAAAGGGAGCACCCCAAGGCTGTATCTGCTCTTTGGTAGCTTCTGTAGCATCTGGGAGCTCAGGGGCCTTCTGGATACAAAGCTGCAGAGTCATTCTGGATCCTTCTCAAACCCTCCACCCAGCCTCCAGCAGACCCCTCAGAATCTCCAGATGTACCCCAAGCGGCCACTGTGGGCTGGCATCACTCTCACCGGCCGGGGTGTGTGTGTGTGTGTGTGTGTGTGTGTGTGTGTGTGTGTGACTGTCCCACAGAGTTCAGATCCTTCTGCCTTAGCTGCCTCCATGAGCACTGGGATCACAGAGGGCCAGGCTCTGTTCTAGGAACTGTCTCCTCACTTCCCCATCGTCCATTCTCAAAGCAGCAGCCGGATGAGTCCTTTACAGAATATATTAATCCAATTATGTTCAGCCCGAAAATGAGTTGACACTCAATAGCTGGGGCCGGGCATCCCACCTCTCTGGAGAGGAGGCTAGGAGGTGTTAAGCCCAGGTTGGCTATTCATAAATAAATAGATTAATAAATAAGTGCGTGCAGGCAGGAAGGAATGCAGGCAGGCTAGCTCTGCAGGAGCTTCTTTTCAGCTCAAAACAAATGCAAAGTTCTGGAAAAGACTGGAGCTCCAGTGGAGCCCCGCCCCACCCCAAGCCATCCCGAGCTCTAGTGCTCTGTGCCTGCAGTCTTTGATGTTCTGAGAGCCTGCCTGATACATTTCTGCCTCTGGGCCCTTGTCTGTATTCACCTCTCAAGGCCTTTGTGCCTGTTGGTGCCTTCCCTGGAATGCTGTTCTGCGGGTATCTTCGTGGCCTGTTTGCTCACGGCTTTCAAGATCTCAGCCTGGGTCAGCTTTCATCTTCTCCGGGTCATTACCCTCCTCCTCCCAGCTAAAGTCAGTGATAACTGCGCCAGACGGATCCTAGGACAGCACCCTAGAGTACATGCAAAGCATTTGATAGAATGACCCTCACTATAGAGGGAGAAGGCAGAGCCCAGGCTGGAGACAGCATCAGTGCCTCTGAGACAGCCTGACCCACCTAACAGGTCAGCAGTCAAGATGGTTGCTTGTGCGTGGCGCTTTAACTCCAGTCTCACGGCCTGAGGGTGCAGGGGTAACTGCTGAGGGGCCCCACATCAGGCTGGCAGCCCCTCCCATAAATGGTGCTTACGTAGGAAACATTAGGCCTAGAAGAGAGCCAGGGAGAACCAAGAGAATCGCCTGCGGAGAGCACACAGCTTCCCACCGGGAGCTGAGTCTCTGGCGCTCGCCCGGTTGGAGGAGGCTTCAAGGTCCGGCATGCTTCGGGCTCAGCTCCACCTCTGGGGTCCTGGAGCTGCTGCTGTCCTCACCAAGGGTGCCGTTTTTCCGCTCAAGGCCCCCTTCCTCATCCCTGCAATGAATGAATTCAGGCCTTGTGGGTGTCAGCCACGGCCTCCAGGGAGGCTAACGGCTGACTCCTGAGCTTCTCATTCAATCTTTTTCTCCCTGAGGAACCCGACAGGGTTGTTCAGCATCCCAAGCTCCTTCCCTCAGCCCTGGAAGGAAGCAGACAGCTGTGCAGTTCTTAGGTCGGAGCAGATTAACGTTCCTGGAATTGAGGCCTGGGGGCGAGGGCTGAAGGTTCCCAGCTCCTAGGAGGGTGTCCTGTCCCTTCCTGGGGCTGGGAGGGTGTTTGGAAAGACATTTTCAGTTTGACGCCAACCTCCTGTTTCCCTCCAACCTGATTTCTGGCACAAAGGCTGTGCTCCGCAGAGCTGTTTCCTGTGGGTGTCCCTGCCATGGGGAAGAGCTGAGCCCTCGAGAACTTTCTTTCCCAGTTCTCCACCATCCAGCCCCAGCTCTAGCCCTACAACAGCCTGGGCCTTTAGTGCTTCTGACATAACGTCATTCTGGTGGGTGCAGAGCAGCCAGCTTGGACCCAGTTGTCAGCCTGCTAACAGCTGCTCACCACAGCTGGCTGAACCAGCCCTCAGTGACAGACACACATTGGTCACGGTGGGCTGGTGAGATTTAGGTGGATTTCCTGGGAAGGAGCCGCATTCCTTTTGTGAGAGCTTCCCAGGGTGGAACTTGAGAGTGGCTCCCAAGGACAGAGGCTCCCAAGGACAGGGCCTGAGCTGCCTCCTCACTCAGCGAGGCCCCGAGCTAGAAAAAACACGGCAACTATAATTATTGGACACATAGTTGGTGCCGAGACTCGGAGTCACTTGCGCCCCAGACATTGGTCTCCAGTCTCATTTTAGAATCTATAATCTGTGGACCCGAGGGCTGTGGACGGATAGACCAGGCCCTCAGGGAGGCATGTGTTACTGGGCAGTGGGCTCCTGCATGGCGGCTGCTGGGACTCTGCTCCCCAGCCCCGGGGACAGAGGGGCCCGCATCTGGCACTTCACAGTAGCCGTTAAGGCTCCAGTTCAGCTATTATTTATTCACTTAAAAGTCCTCGATCACTGAAGTAACAGAAGAATGCTGCCAAAACATGAAAAGAGAGTACGGGGGAAATGTTCAAAGTTCTAATCTTATTTGAACAGGCACCATTAACATTTTGTTATATTTTTGGCATTTTAAGTCTTGTTTTCCTGTGCTTGAGAATACTTGATTTTCAGTACTTGAAAAAAAACTTTTTAATTGCAAGCATATGACGGAGTTCTCAGCTGTTAACATCTTGCATACTTCTGTTTCCTCTCCTTATATTTATTTATTTATATGGGCACACAACTAAGCATATCTCTGTGTGAATGTTACTGGGGCTAGGCTGGAGTTCCTGAGGGCCTGAGGAATCCAGTGCGGGGAACCAGAAGATCTGGCTTCTATCTCATCTCTGCCACTTCTTAGCTTTGCCCTCAGGAGCTGTCACCTCTCCAATCTGTTTTATCTCTAAAACACCACGAGCTAATTCCTTCCCTGGAATCTGGTCATCTGAGCAGATCAAGTGGGAGAGGACATGAGGATAAAGACACTTCATAGACCAAAAGGCACTGGTCTCCAAATAAGGCAATGTCCAAACTGTGACCAGAGCTTCAGCAGAGGGCCCTTCGTGTTGGTGAGGACCTCTCGACATCCTCCGGGGGAGGACTTGGGTCCTTCCCACTGAATAATCAGTGTTAGCCCTGGGGTGCCTTAGGTCAGGACTGGCCTGTCCCACTCTTACCTATGCTGGGAAAAGTGTCCCAACAGTAACTTCAGCAGTGGGTAGTCTGAGCGGCCCGTAGTCACCTCCGCCCAGGCGCTTGCCTGCCCTTCCTTCCATGGTTGGTGGGAAGGGTTACGTGAAGGCTGAATGCCAGAGCAAAGCAGCTCTCAAGGGCGTTGGGTCTGCTCAGGGCGCTGTGTCTGGCTAACTTGGTAAGAATGTTGACACATTCATCAGGATCTGTGTTGTCTTTGTCCATATCTGGCTTTCTGAAAGCTTGAATACCGGTTGTCTAGGCTACTTCCTGGGAAAAAGAGTTGGTATTGGGAGTCAGAGCAGTCATCTGCTCCCTCACAGTGGTCAGTATCCACGGTTCAGTATTCTAAAGTACAAAAACAACCCTGGCAAGAACCTTTTAGCATCTTCCTTAGCACACCTTCTAACCTGCTACTTCATTTTACCCTTCGAGGCAGCACAGTGTCTGCTGTCCTAACCCTCAGGCCGAGGAACACGGCCAGAACAGGTCCACAGTTCGCTGGGAGCAGAGCACTCCGGAATCTGTCTCTCCAGACTGGCTCATCCTGGGCTCACCGGGCAATGCTAGCCTGGATGCCACCATGAAGAGCCGCCCCTCAACCACATACCCTTCCATTGCGGAGGACCCGCCGTTTGCTCCCCTGTGTCAGCGCTGCAGGCTCAGCCCTCTTCTTCATCTGCCAGGTGCTGCTGGATGAAGAAAGGGACACCATGGCAAGGTCCCGCAGGCTGGAACGCGGCACCAATAGCTTCAGCTACTCTTCTTATCACACTCTGGAGGAGGTAGGCCCTCCCTGGGTTAGCTCCAGACCCTGATGGTTCCGAGGCTTTGGCATCTCCAAGAGTAGGCAGAGAGCAGAAAAGGGTTCTATGGCTGAGTCTACTGTAGCCATGTGAAGTACAGAGAACACACGTGAAGTAAAGGGAGGTTTGGTGGCAGACAGCCTAAAGGTGTCCGGAGGCAGCTGGAGGGGCTCCAGCTCAGAAGTATGCCTAAGCAGGCTCAGGGCCCAAGAAATGTTTCTGAGGGTGGTGCACCGAGGCGAGGACCTACTATAGGCCAGAACAAAGTCCATTCCCTGACTGGTGACTCCTTGACCTCCTTGTGACCAGTCCTGGCATTCTGTGACCCCAGCTGTGGATTCTTGAAGGTATGAGTGTCGGCAGTCCACGCTCTGGGAAGTCATGAATGTAGAAATACGTAGTTGCTTTTACTTGGAGAAAATGTGTGATCATAATGACAGCCAGCTAGGGCATAGTGACAGCAGTGGTCACTGTTTAAGGGAGAACTTACAGAAACCCAAGGAATAGGCCTCATTTGCCTGTTAAAAACATGACATTATTAATATTGTCTACTCTGTCACTCTTCTCTTGAAAGACCTGTAGTGGAGAATCCATTTTCTTTCGAATGTTTATTCATTGATATATATATATATTAAAGGACAAGAAAATGAACTAATATAGACTGTCACTGTTATTGATGTCAACAATAAATAAGATACTACCTTTCCCTTCAAGATGCTGAGTTGAGAAGGAGAGAAAAAGATATAAAACAGCACCCCACAGTTTAAGAGATCTGTCAAATGGCTAAAATGGACCACAGAGTGAAGGAAGAGAATGACTTTTCAACAGAGAGGTCCATGCAGAGCACATCTAGGAAATTGTTATTATTATCATTATCATTTTTATTTCAGACAGGTCTTCCTCTGTAGCCCAGGCTGGCTTGAATTGCTGATCCCCTTCCTCTGGCTGCTGAGGACTGGGATTACAGACATGCGGGGCCACAGCAGATCATGGGATTTGAGGGTACTCAATGCATGTTCTCTCCGGTGAAGGCGTAGCTCTTTGTGTGTGTGTGAGGAGCCTGGTGTTCTAGCCAGCCCACAAGCTCTAAGTGTATCTTGAGGGTTTGCGATCTTGATCTGTGTTCTTTAGAGTCCCAGGGGAAGTAGGAAGCAGTAAGGAAGTGGTGAACACTGTTCATTGACTGGGACACACCCGTCCCCCTTTTAACGCCAGTCTGATAAGTCTCCTTTGCTTTCAGATATATAGTTGGATGGACAACTTTGTAGCTGAACATTCTAATCTCGTCTCCAAAATTCGAATTGGCAACAGCTTTGAAAACCGGCCGATTCTTGTCCTGAAGGTAAGAGCGCACTGAATCCGGCAGCAGACTGGAGTGGCTGTCTTTGTCGTAGACTGAGCTCGTGGGTACGTGGCTGGGTGTGCATTTCTGGGTAGGGAAGATGTGTGCATGCCGTACTACAGATCTTCGGGCTTTGTGGCATCAGAAAGTCACCCTTGTAGGTATGGACAGGGGGCAGTGACCTAAGGAGACAGGGCTGTGGAGCGGCAGCTGTCCCCTGAGTGCCAGGTGGGTGTGGGTGAGTCAGCACCCTTCCTGTTGCCAAACTTGCTCTACCTGCTAAGTGAGAACAGAGGTGCACACAGGGTTCATCTGACGATGCGGAGGTCATCTGGCCTAGGCAGCTTTGGAGAAACCTTCTAGCCCGTCACGGGGGCCACACAGCTTGAACAAGAGTGGCCACTATAGTGCCCTTGCTTGTTCATGATGGAAGCAGGATGGACAGGGCAGTCCCCAGAAAAGACTCAGCCCCTAGCCCGAGCTCCCATAGGGGAACCATCGACACGGCTGTCGGGGAGGGTAGGTGCTGAGGGGCCCCCAGGACCTGGTAGATGCTTCTGAACAGCCACACGGCCTTGCTGAACTTTGCCTTGACCGAACTTGCTTCTGCTTTGGTGTCGCACCAGGCATGACTGCATCTCTCTCTGAGGGGACCTTTGTAAGTGCCTGGAGTCCATCCCATGCCCCCTTCCTAAAATAATGACTGAGACTTTGTTATTTATGAGTAAACACCTAGGCCTTTGGCGTTGGCTCATTCCCTGACTTTTAACTTAAATTACCTGTTTATTCTAGTCTAGGTGTGCCACAGGAGAGGCTGGTTACCTCTCCTCAGTTTCATGTGTCCGTCCTTCTCAGTGTGGCCACAGAGTCCTCCCACCCCTCACTCCACCCCAGAGTTGCCCTCTGCGGGATCTCTCAGCTGCGCACTTCCTCCTTCAGCTAACAGACCACTAGCTTTTTGTTGACAGGTGATGCTTCCATACAGACCCTGGAGATTCCTCTACAGACCCTGCTCCTCAAAATGTGGCTTTGCACATCAGGGCCCTCCTCCTCCTCCTCCTCATCACCAGGGCCCTGAAAGCACATATATTACAAATGCAGACTTTACGCCCCTCCCTAGACTCATTGCACATAACCTGAATATTCATTAAAATTCCCACGAGACACATGTGCCCATTACGTTTGAGATGGCCTAAGTGGTCAGATACTTCCAGTCTTGGGAAATTCTTGTCTTCCAAACAGAACTGTGAAGCAAAGGCGGCAGGGCATGTTCGTACTTCACAGAGCTGTAGGTGTGGGCCAGCCTGTCCTTCTTGGCTCTGGTTAAGTGCTCTTGCATGCAGACTAGTTTCCGACAGCGCGGGACGGCGCCGTGGCTGTGTGGTCATGCCTCTGTTTGTGGTCTGGTCCCCAGTTCAGCACGGGCGGCTCAAATCGCACAGCTGTCTGGATCGACACCGGGATCCACTCCCGGGAGTGGATCACTCATGCCACTGGTATCTGGCTCTCAAACAAGGTCAGCTGGGCCTGAGGAGCAGCGTCGGGACAGGAGGGGGGGAGACTCAGTTCCTTTAAGTTTCAGGGTGCTCCCCTGCCCCCCATTCTCTGAAACATTATTCTCACGTGCTCTGGCTGGATACAAATGGGGGCTCAGGCTCCCTCTGCCTTCCAGCTGTTTAAAAGTTAAGCTTCTGGTTCTGTGTGGGACATGTTTGATGACCCAATGCCACCTCTTCCCGTACCCACTGGCTGTGTTAGAGGCCTACTGCCCCTCTGAGAAGTACCTGGCAAGGGCTGCCTCCTGTCACCCTCTCTTGCAGATTGTCAGTTCATACAGCAAAGACCATGTCTTGAAAAAAATATTGAATTACATGGATATTTTCGTAGAGGTTGTCACCAACCCTGATGGCTTTGCTCTCACCCATAGCATGGTAAGGACAACTGGGCACCCCCGATGGTGGTGGTCTGGAGTGTGTGCTGGGCAGGGAAATGGCATGGCAGCCCCTGGAGCTGGCTAGGGTCTTTCTGCAGAGAACCTGGCTGGCCAAAAGAGGGCCATTGAGCTCTTAAAGCTTTGGAATTAGAGACAGGCAGGGTGGTACACACTTTCAATCCCAGCACTCAGGCGGCAGAGGCAGGCGGATCTCTGTGAGTTCAAGGCCAGCCTGGTCTACAAAGTGAGTCCAGGCCAGCCAAGGCTACACAGGGAAGCCCTGTCTCAGAAAAAGAAAACAAACAAACAAGTCATGGCACTAATACCATCCTGCCCAACAGGCTGCCCACTGCTCAAGTGAGCTTCTGCTGCAAGCTACCATTAGCTCTCTCAAACCTTCACTTGAACTGCAGCAGACCTAATTTGCACAGGGTCTGGCCCCACTCTCTGTCAACCCATTCAGTCCCTCGAGGCTCCTTCCTGCCCCACTAGGACCCCTCTTCCTTTCATGGGTAGGTGCCATCTATGCCATCACTGGGAGTGGGCCCAGTTAACGGGGCACCCTGCCTGGGCTTTCTCAGAATCGTCTATGGCGAAAAAACAAGTCCAGTCAACCGGGCATCTCCTGCATCGGCGTGGACCTCAACAGGAACTGGAAGACAGGCTTCGGAGGTATGTTGGCCGGGCCGGGCCGGCTGGAGGGGCCCCTGGGGGGCTGCTCTCCTCACCAGCAGGGCATGTTGACTCCTACGTTGGGAGGCATGGGCAACATCGCTGGCTAATATCTCTGCGTCGTTACCAGGGTCAGGTGAGCACATAGCTAAGACTGACCTCGGGACGTAGGTGAAGGTGCATGCATGATATGTGGCTCCCACGCTAAGCCTTCGTTAGGGAACCATCAGCTACTGAAATGAAGACATATTGCAAGTATCAAATGCTGAGCACGGCAGAGAAAGCCAGCGTGCTCTGGCAGGGTTATGCTATGCCTGGCTGGCTAGGCAGCTTTCTCCTGAGTTCCTTGGTGATCTTTTCTGATCCCCCTTCTCGCTCACACACACACAGACTAGATAGGGAAACCAAGTCTTCTAGAATGTCCAGGGGGAATATCTGGATCCCAGCAGAGCAGCAATTTTATGGGTGGGATTTCAGGACCAGTCAGGATAGTCACGGGACAACGCCCAGCCCTCAGGCCCAGCTGTGGTATCCATATCCCACAGTGGAGAGAAGGCTCCCCAAGGGAGACAGAGCCACTGCTGTTAACAAAGATTCAGAAGTTGGTGGCCAACTGATGCTAGAACATTCTAGATGGAGGTGTCTATGGCGCTGTAAATATGGCTTCCTGAAGTTTGTTCATGATGAAAAATATGGACATTTCTAAAGGATGGAGAACAAAGCCCCCAGGTCATGTGGTAGCGGCTGCCTGAGGGTCAGGGTCTGTGTAAGCACAGCATCGTGACTGTGTGAAATTAGACGTGTGCCTCCAAACTGAGCAGGGTTGACCTAGGTGGGAAAGCATGGTCCCAAACCTGGCAGGACTCACATATACTGAGGAAGCCCAGTTAGGAGATATATAAACTCTGTCTTAAAGAAGATAACATTTGTGGGTCTCTCTGTGAACAAATAGGTAAATTAAAAAAAAAAAATCTGTAGCTACACAGTGTAGAAAACAGTTATGGGTGTGTGTGGAGCCCAAAGAGGTCGAAGAGCTCCCATAATTCCACTACTCAAAGATTAGTGCTTTAATAATTCACCACGCACCCTCCGAGCTTTCCCCTTGCTACAAATTACATCTTTTAGAGGAAGAAAAATAAACAGCTAATGCATCCATTAGCAGGTAGGTGTGAGGTGGCAGGCTCAGAGAGCCTTGGCTGTGCAGAGAGGCAGGCAGCTAATTCCCATTTGGTCAGGGGCAGATTGGTTTATTCTGCTTAGCTCAAATCAGAACTAATGGCCTGAAGTGTTTCTCCATATTTGGGCAAAGTCACCTGGCTGTTGGCAGGGGAACTGCTCTCCCCTCTCCCTGCTCTCCCCCTTCCCTGCTCTCTCTCCCCCCTCCCTGCTTTCCCCCTCTCCCTGCTCTCTGCCCCTTCCCTGCTCTCTCTCCCCCTCTCTGCTCTCCCCCCCCTCCCACAAATCCTGGCTGCTCTGTGTAGCTCTACAGGACATGGCTCTGGGGAAGGAAGCGAGTGGGCAAAGCATCTAAGAGAAGCAACAAAGTCAACTAGCTGAAAAATGGAAGCCAGGGCTGGGGGTGGAGCTGAGAAATAGGGCACTTACCATACAGGAACGCACACATGCATTCGGCATGCACACATGTGGGTACACACGCATGCACACACACCACTCCTCTCCGCCCTCTCCCCACTATTCCCCGAGAAGAGTTCTCAAAGCCTCTCCTGTGATTCTCAGGCCACGCAACTCTGGATCCACTCTGTCTCCCCGGTCCACGGTCCCTGGAGCTCCTAGGGCCATGGCTGCCTTTGAGCCCCTGACCAGCCACGGACCCTGGGAGAGCCAAGCGAAGGCCTGCTGCTCAGGAGGGAGGCTGGGATTAGGGGAGGGCTGGGGGCTCCCAGCCAACCCACAGAGCTGCCGAGGCGGTGCAGTCTCCATGCTGCCGTGTGAGGTGAAGGGCCAAGCAGGAGCTGCACAGCTAACCAACACGGCTAACCAGAGTTCGTCTAGCTCTGAGGGCTGAGGTGGGTGGCTGGCCCTCACGGCCTCGCTGCTTCGTCGACAGGCTCTGCTTCAGCCACACAGACAAATGCAGAGTCACCCCCTTTCCTCTCTGTCTTTTGATCTGGGGTCTCTACTGGCCGTTCTCCAGGACTCACTCTGTAGACCAGGCTGGCCTTGAACTCACAGAGATCTGCCTGCCTCTGTCTCTGCTGAAATTAAAGACTTGCACTCAAGTCTAGCCACCTTTTCCCTTATCAGCCTCAAAACAGAAATGACCCATCATTTCTGCTTACATTTTCACTGGCTGGAAGCAGTCACATGACCTTGACCAACTTGCAAAAGGAGCTTGTGAGACATAGAGGTGCTCTGACCCTCTGGGTGGTCTTATTTTCCTTTCAGGAAATGGTTCTAACAAAAACCCTTGCTCAGAGACTTACCGAGGGCCCTCTCCTCAGTCAGAGCCAGAGGTGGCTGCGATCGTGAACTTCGTCACAGGCCACGGGAACTTCAAAGTTCTGGTCTCCATCCACAGCTACTCTCAGATGGTCATGTACCCTTATGGCTATTCTCTGGAGCCTGTGCCTAACCATGAGGAGCTGGTAAGATGGGCTGCTTAGAGTGTAGGAACGGGAAAGGCGTCTCTATAGGAGAGTCCATCTGCCCCCCCCAGGTGGCTCAGACTTTGACTCCCAGTATGTCAGGGAGACCCCATGATAGCGAGGCTCAGTAGAGCTGGTCTCATGTGTGATCGAGTTCAAAGTGGAGGCATTGTCCTATCTCCATGGCCGGCTTCCAGGGCTCCCAAAGCCCTGCTGCCCACTAGCTGTGGCGTGTACAGGGCTGGTCAGCTCTCCTCTCTGGCTGTGTTTGCAGTTCCGTCTTGCGAAGGACGCCGTGAAGGCTCTGTACAAGGTGCATGGGATCCAGTACATATTCGGCAGCATCAGCACCACCCTCTGTGAGTGAGCGGTCTGTGGGGAGGGGTCCCCGACAGCTGCTCCTCTGCAGCAGCCTGGTGTCTGGCCTAGCACTAAGGCTCCTGCGGTGGAGGGTTTGAAGTCTATCAGCCTAGTTCTACAAAGGGGAAAATGGCTGGGGGGTAGGCAGGGTAGGGCCCAGGGTGAGGTGTGAGTCAGGAAGCTTGATGTCACCGGCTCCAGGCGGGTTACAGGCCCACTCTTCACTCCTTCCACACCTCCTTCCTCCCTCCCTGGGGACTTTTTGGCCCTTTTCTTTTTAGACGCAGCCAGCGGGATTACGGTGGACTGGGCTTATGACAGCGGCATCAAGTATGCCTTCAGCTTCGAGCTCCGGGACACTGGACAATACGGCTTCCTGCTGCCCGCCTCACAGATTGTCCCCACAGCCCAGGAGACGTGGATGGCCATACGGACCATCCTGAAACATGCCCTAACTCACCCCTATTAGCCACGCTCCCGAAGCCAGAGCAGAGGGGCTCATCTCTTCCCCCAAGGCCTGGACTCCCCCGAAGGCCGATTAAGCAGCCCTTCCCCTCATCCCTGTTGGACTCTTAGAGAATAGAAGCAAGTTTGAACAGACCTCGCTGCCTCCAGCACTAGCTGCTGCGCCTGGGCTCAGTGTCAGAGGGGCAGAGGGCAGTTGGGCACCTGTCAGGGCAGCGTGACGTGTCTGGGATACCTCCCCACACCCACCGCCTTCGGGAATATGAGGCCTGAGCTCTGCCGTTCTCGCTCTGTGCTCCTATGCCTGGGAAAACTGAAACATCATTTCAGCAGTTTCTGACGTTTTCATATAGTCCAGAGGGGACCAGGCTTGGCTTAAACAACAGAACGGCCAGTAGTGAAATTTCTGTCCCCTTTTCCTCCATCTTTCTCCCGAGGGGGGGGGGGGTCATGTTCAAGGTTCTTACCTAAAGGCTGTGCCAACCTCATGTCAGAACCCTAGCAAATCCTGCAGTGTGACCGGCAAGCAGTTACTCCAGGTTAGGCGTGTGCAGAGAGAAAAGGGCACCGCTGTGCGGTCCCAGTGAGGTCCCAGAACCCGATAGTGGAGCAGGGCCCGAGGGCCCGCTCTTATGTCTGAGAAGCAAGAGATCAATTGAAGGCTGGAAGTGTTTGTGGAACTCTGAGGCAGAAACACTAGTTTAAAAATGAACACGTGTGTGTGTGTGTGTGTGTGTGTGTGTGTGTGTGTGTGTGTGTGTATTCTGGATACCCATAAGCCAGTTCCTGAGCATCACAGAGAAGAATGGAAGCAGAAAGCTAAAGGAAAAAAGCCCCTTCCATGCAGCCTGCAAAAAGAGAAACACTTGATGGAAGAGGGTGATTTTAGATGCTCAAACCCATATTCACAAGGCCCGTGGTCACTGTGATACCTACACAGTACAGAAGGGGCCAGGGCTGATGTTAGAGGCAGATGTAGCTGCAGCTATTGAAGATTCTGAGAGAGAGAGGGAGAGGGAGGGAGAGATAGGCAGGGAGAGGGAGAGAGAGAGAGGGAGGGGAGAGAGAGAGAAAGAGAGAGAGGGAGAGAGCCAGTGAGAGGAAAAGAGGGGGGAGAGGGAGAGAAACACAGAGAGAGGGAGAGAGATTGAGATGGAGAGAGAGGGAAGGAGAGGGAGAGAGAGATGGAGGGGGAGAGGGAGAGAGAGAGAGAGAAAACGAATCTGTAGGTGAAAGACTGAAAGACAAGGCCACGGGCTATTCAGCCTCTAACATATTGACATACTGGCCATTAGTTGGACATGCCAAGGGCCAGCTGTGGAAGCCCCGAGAAAGTCAGGTTTCTTAACCCCCAAAGAACCTGGATTATCTGCAGGGGAAGAGCCAGCAATGGAGGACAGGACATTCTGAGGTGTTTTTATTTTTAAAGCTGGAAGTAGCTTAATGGAGCTGGAATTTCCAACCTGAAGTTACTCTTAGTGGAAATAGAGTCACAGGCTGCGACATGTAAACTATAGATAATAAAATGAGCTCTCCTGCGCACCAGGGCCGCAGTGGCCTCTACACACGTATTTTCATTTCATCCTCACGGGAGGGCATATTACTGGTATTAATAAGCTCATTTTTAAATTAAAAAAAAATTTTTGAGACAGAATCTTACACTGTGGCTGAAGTCGGCCTGGAACGCATTGATGTGTTTCTGGCTGGCCTTGAACTTATGGCAATTCTCCTGTCTCAGCCTCTTGTGAACTATCATGCCTGGTTCAATAAGCTCATTTTTAAAATAAGGGATGCTATTTCAGAGCATTTAAAAAGCCTTCCGAGGCCACACAGAGCTTGGTTTGTACAAGCCTGAAACTTGTGTCACCATTTGCCCAAGTGGGCCACCAACATCGGAGGCTGCGGAAACCTGTTTATCCTAGAGGCTAGGAGCTCATCTTCACAGGGAACCAGCACTTCTGGGGCAGGACAGGCGGCTCCCAGGAGCCGCAACAATGCGGTCCTGGACTGTGGGCTGGTTGGCTTTCTAAAAATGTGGTCTGAAGTCCTTTCCGAGAGCTGACTGTGGGCCAAGCACAGTTGCCGGCGCATTATAGGATTCAGCACATCACTTCCTCTTAACTGTCTTCGGTGGAACCGACAGTGACTTTATTTTTGAAGAGAAGGCTCAGACAGCCATGGCTGCAGGGCACACAGAACAGTGAGGCAGGGTGCGACTGGCCTTCAAGGTCTGTAGCTCGTGTTTCAAACCCTGAAGCTGCCTCATACTCAGCCTCCCAGATCAAGATGCTGGGAACCGGTTTTCACAACCAGGTTGGCAAGAGCTCCTGTGCAGGGCACAGTCCCACAAAAACTGGGAATGACATTGATGGGTACGCGGCTGGAGGTACTTGGATTGTGTGTATGTGTGTGTGTGTTTGGTTTTTTATTTTTTGAGACAGGGTCTCCCTGTGTAGCCCTGGCTGTCCTGAAACTATGTAGACCAGGCTGGCCTTGAACTCACAGAGATCTGCCTGCCTCCCTGCTTGTATGGATGTGGCCCATTCTCAAAACCAAACAAAAAACAAAAATAAAAGAAAACCCCAAACCAAAACCCCAAACCAACCAAACAAAAACTTCAATGATTTAAAATCCCACCCAAGGCCACATGACCAGTCCATCTGCCTCTCCCCGACCATTGTGTCCCTCTCAGCACCCCCCGCCCCCCAGCTCCTCCCACTAGGGATCTATCATGAGTTGCTTCTCTCTGGAACATTCTTTCCCCCAGTGCTTCCTTTAACATTTCCTCACATTTCCTAGGACTATCCATCAGCCATAGATCACTGTCTCCCATAATCCTCCCTTCCAAGGCCTCCTCTATCTCCTTTGAAGCAATTTTCATTAGTAACTAATTGACTGTTTTTCTCGGAGGCAGGCACTGTGTCTGGGGTGTTTGCTCTGCCCTAGCTCCTGGCAGTGCCTGTTAAAGACACTCTGAGATTGTGGCAGGCCGTCACTCCTCAGCCACACATCTGCTGTGTGTGACAGAAACTCACCGTGGCCAGAACAGGTAGGCTTACTGTGACACAGACACTCCCAGGAGGTCTCAGTGATGCTTCTGATGCGCTGGTGACCCTTTCTGATACGTTTTGTCATTCTGCTACACAGACAGGTGTGTTATAGCAGTGGGGAAACAGCCAAAGGAAAGCACCCAGTGCTTTCACCATTGAGCAGACGCCATAGTGTGTTTCTGTAGCCCTTCAGCCGCCGCACACCCAGGCCTCAGGTGGCCTATTCCCTCAGTCCACAAAGGAAAAACAGATCAGGCACGAGAAAAAGAGATGTGGCAAAGACAAGATTTTGGGCATGGGATGATGTTCAGTGGTGGGAGTTTTTGCTCAGTACGTTTGAGGCCCCAAGTTCAATCCTCAGCAGATCCAGAAGCAAGCCACCTCTCCGAGATAGAGCGGCGCTCTACTGCTGACCTCTAAACTTCTAACTGAAGACGCAGGGCTGTGATGGCTGCCTTTTGTCGACGGGATAAATGTCATGACAGGGCACCTCACAGGAGACTTTATCTGCGAAGAGTCTGGACGCAGGTTAAGCATGGCAGCAGGAGGCTAGACAGGAAGCTGAGGGATCAAGCGCAAACACAGAGCACAGAGAGAAACAACCAGAGTGGGGAAGACATCCGTGGTCAAGGCTCCATCTCCTGAGGCTCCGCAGGCGTCCTACACATCGCCACCTGCAGGGGACCCAGTGTTCAAATATATGAGCCTGTGGAGGACATTTCTCATCCAAGCCACCACAAGCACATTCTAAAATGGCAATAAAAACCAAAGGCTGGCTCACATGGAAACCAGGGTCACGGGTGTTTACTTTCCTCAAGGAGTGTGTAGTGTGTGTAACTGTCTGTTCTCTATTTTTGGACACCTGGCAGCAGAAGAGGTTTGCCTACGCCAGGGTCCCCACAAATGCGTGAGTGGTGTGTTTCATTCCGAAGACTTTACGGTGGGCTAACAGTGACATTAAGTGACCAGAAAATTTTAGCTCCATTGTCATCTTTTGGAAGCATGGTTGGCTTCAAGGGGAGCACAGCTGGATTTTGACCTCTGTTTTCTAGCTGGCCTGAACTCCAGGCAGGAAGAGCAGGGGCGGAAGTGTAAGCTAGCGAGTTGGCTGGTCTGACTGAGGGCTTACATTCCTATCTTATGGCTTGGCGCAGCGCCACGTGGTGCCGCCCAGCTGTAAGGAAGGCTGGGAACTTGCTCTGTAGCTGGTCACATCACAGTTTCAAATAAAGGCAGAGGAGGAAGGAGGAGTGGACGACAGAAAGACACCCAACGGAGTCTGTAACGGCGTCTGTGGGGGAGGGAGCGTGGGAAGGGCCTCGGAACCAGTCTCTTGTTGTAGTTAACTGAAAAGCCATGGAAGTTCCCAGATGTTGTAGCCAACCCCCTTCATGAGGTTATGAAGGTTATGAAGACTGGGGCTCTGCATCCTGAGATCTAGACAGGGCTCATGTGACCCTCACAGCTGAGCAGCCACCAACAGGTCCCCGAAAGCTCGGGAAGGCCAAGGCTTAGGTGCATTGACCGGAAGCTCAAAACTTAGAGACGCTAGAACTAGAAAATAATTTTAAATTTTCTCTTTTTTCATAGACCTGAAGCAGCCCTCCTCTCATTTTCTAACGTATGTAAAGCTGAACAGGAACTTAGATTTTCTACATTTTTTTTCTCCTTTCTTCCTTTTTCCAACAAGCTGTTCTTTTTAGTTTTTTTTTTTTTTTTTTTTGTCCTTTTCACCCGTAAAAATTTATGAGCCTTTATTTGAAAGCTTCAAGAAACTGGAAAAAGTAGAGGAGAAAGGGCGGTTATGCATATGGAAGCCGCAAGAGCCACAGCGAATGTAGTCTTTGCTTTCTTAAGAAAACAAACCAGCCCGCCAGTTCGGAATGTGAGCCCGGCCAGAGGCAGAGGCCCAGGCTGAAGGGCGGTCCCCCCTGCTCAGGAGCTCTGCCAGGTGCTGTCAGTGAGAGACAGGAATACAGAGAGAATGACCACAGAAAAGAGTGAAGACTTAAAACACCCCTTTAGAAAAGCAAGAAGACCCAGGCCATCAGAGGCTGCAGGCTGCAAGAGAGTCGGAGGAGCACTGGGCCTTGAAGCGCTTTCAGGCTGGCCTGGTAGAACGGATCCTGGAAAGACTTCCTCCAGGAGGACTAAGGGGCCTGCAGAAGAACAAGCCGGACACTGGCCTCTGGTAGGCCAGACGACATGGAGCTGTGGAGCGTGTTACCGTTGTCCAAAAGCTGTCTTAAATACTTGGGGTCTGAGAACCACAGAGGCAAGACAGATGTCCAGATGTGTCCTTCAGCACCCTCCCTCCCTACTTCCCCCGGAGAGCTTCTGTCACCAGGCCGGTGTCTGAGGGCTAGGCCTGGGGCGGCTTCTGCTCCCGGCGCGGTGCCAGGCAGGGACAGGAGCTGAGGTGGAGCCTGTTTAGTGTCTCTAGCTGCAGCCATGAGTGCAGCCAACCGTCCCCGCTATCCGGGGGCCCCTGAGTTAGTGGCCAGCCTCCTCTTGCTCCCCACCTCACCAAGCTGACTAAACTGGGGCAGGCCTGCCCCGGCTTCAGCAGGAGGGAGGAGCTAAGAGAGGGCAGCCCTAACCGATTTAGCCTTCAGGTTCTTCTCAGAGAGAATGGCCTAGCCTCAGACCCTGTCTTGGGCAGGCCTCTTAGTAGCTTCTTGCCCTGGAGCCTGCACATTGCCTCCTGTCTTTCCAAGCCAGCCTAACTAAGCCCCGTGTTTTTCATCCCATCCCTGATCCCCAGCCCACCTCCCTCAGCTTCCTGAAACAGAGAGAAGACCACGGGAAATGTTCATAAAACTGCACTCGGGATGCAAAAGGGAAATAACAGGACAGAAAACAGGAAGCCTGATGTGGTGTTGACGCTCATGTCCTTCGTGAGGAAACCCATTAAGTCCGCTCCCTCTGTGTCTCTTGGTGGGGACAAGAGTCCCTGACCTCCCGCTCAGCTCAGCAGCAGCACCGCGCCCCAATGTGTCATGGGAGTGCACCCCTGCTTATTTCTTTGTCGCAGACAAAGGTGACATTCCCTAAAGACTCTTGTTTGGCATTGGAATGTCTCTCTCACCTGAGGGCCCTTACGCTGGATATCAGTTCTGTCCTCACTTCTGGAAACACATGCCTGAGCCTTTGCACAGTGATAACTGAGCATGTTTCAAGTAGCCAGTAGGCTTCCCGAAGCAGCTCTGGAGGCAAAACTGAAGGAGGGTGCAGACAGGAGCTTGCTCTTCCAAACTCCCACAGCACACCAAAGCCTCAGCGAAACGTGGCTATCCCCACCTCCCTGGCTACCCTGCTGCCAGTCTGAAACCCTCAGTGGCTTCTGAGTACCCACAGACCTGAGGAAGCACTCTTCCCCCTTTCTAGATACTTCTCTGTGGCTTGATTTTGTAAAGAAGAAATCCAAATGTCCTGGAGTTTTAATGTGTCACAGCTGGAGGGCCCCACAGAGATCGCCATGGTTACCTACTCAGTGGGCACCCCCTCCGTCCCATTTTGTTCTTTTCTGAAGTTAGAGAATGTCTTTTTTTTAAAAAAACATGTAGCAGAAGAGCAACTTGATAGAAGCTTGAATGGAAAAAAAAAATGTTGGCCCTCCCTGGAACTAGGCCCACCTGAGCTGTGACTTTTGAGTGAGGGGTGAGAATATAAATAGATTGAAAATAACAACAAAGTGGTGCCTCCTAATGAACAAGCTGAGCTTATGCTCTGACCTCCACGCGCACAAACATATGACCAAACCAAACCCAGAAACGTGCCCCATTCCGAGGGCAGGTGCTGAGGCAAAGTGATTCTGCATCCTGTTGGGGTGTGTGTGTGCATGCGTGTGCGTGTGCGTGTGCGTGTGTGTGTGTGTGTGTGTGTACACGACCATCTCTTGTCCAGGTCCACAAGGCACAGGCTGAAAAATAACTTATCTACACAAAAGATCACTAAGAGCATTTCAAAACTATCAGAAGAGAAAAGGAAAAAACAAACCAACCCAAGCAGGCCTGTGAGCTTATCAGACACAATGAACGAGGCAACCCTTCACCTGGGTCACACGTAAGAGGGCACAAAATACGGCCCAGCGTGCAACTACCCATGACCTACCAGGTTCACGTGAAACAGTATGGGCAGGCCGCAAACTCCCTGGTCTCTTCCTGAGTTTTCTGTCCAGCCTGGCCTTCCTGCTTGACATGACCAACCTCCATTCGTCACCCAGACTCGGAAAGCGCTAGAGCCAGCCCCGGACCTTGAACCAGGTTCGCACTTGGCAGCCCTGTGCCCGACAGCTCCATGGCAGGGTTGGCTATGCCAGACTCTTATCTCACCACCTGTATCTGATCCTGCCTTTACTAAGGTCCTTCTGAACCCAGCAGGCACGTTAACTCTTTGGGGGAAGCTCTCCAGTGTTGTGTGAGGTGTAATGCGATCACAGCGTCAATCTCAGCAATCAGGAAGAACCTGTGTCTGCCTGCGGCCATGAATATCAAGTGAAATCTGTAGCTGGGCAATTAAAACCAATGAAATTGATGTAACTTGTGCATTTATTGTTAAATAAATAAATCCGGACACTGTTAAAACCCGAATACGTCCGTCCTTGTTTCTGCTGTAGTGTACTAACAAGGTATCTGGGGCCGTGGGAAGCCAGACGAGGAGTCCCAGCTGGGAGGCCCGAGGCCCAGCTGTCCCTCATGGCCAAGGGTGGAAGCCTGTCTTATCGCCCCACCTGCCTTGTTCCCTGCTACTTTATCAGGAAGACTGAGATGGTGTCAGGGTTTGGAGTGCCCACCTCTCCCTCCCCGTGGGACTGGGTCCAGATGTGAGGGGAGCAGCCCCAGGCCTACCTGGGACCCTGTTTAAAAAGGCCTCAGAGCTCAGTCCCGCTCCCACCCGTCCTTCCCACCATGCGGAGGCTGCTGATTTTGAGTGTGCTGCTGGAGGCAGTCTTGGGCAATGAGAACTTTGTGGGGTAGGCATGTGGAGAGGAGGCGGATGTCCTGAGTCGGGGGAGGGGACACGGCCAGAGAAGACAGACTGACACCACCCAGGGACAGCAGCCTGGGTGAGGGGGGCAGAAGGGGCCTGGCAGGGTCCAGTTTCTTTTGGACCCTGAGAGGACTGAGCTCTGAGAAGGAATTTTTAGGACAGAGAGGAGGTCAGGTTGGCTTGGAGATAGACCAGTCTAAACAGCACGAAAGTCTAGAATCTTCCAAAGACAGGGAGAGAAGAGAAGCCGTTCTGTCTCCCTGCTCAGACCCCCTTGCATCTCTGAGGGCCCTGCCTGGAAAGTGTTGGGGTACCTTAGGTTCTCGGCCCCTTCTGCTCTGTGCAGGCACCAGGTTCTCCGAGTCTCTGCAGCCGATGAGGCCCAGGTGCAGAAAGTGAAGGAGCTGGAGGACCTGGAGCATTTGCAGGTTAGAGCCAGGGTGCGGTTAGAGCCTCGGTGAGAACCCAGGAGACTTCCTGGGCCAGCCGGGGCCGCCTCCCACACCCATGCAGTCAGTTCCTCAAAGCCTTTCCATTCTGGCCATTTCCTGACCACACTGGACTGCGTCCTGTGCCCTAGGTTCCCCCTGCTGCCTCTGCTTCCAGCACCCATGCCTCAAGCCGGCTCTGTGGGAGCTTCTCAGGCCAATGACCCTCCTCAGGCTCTCCCCACTCCATTGCTCTGGCTGGTGCCTCCCGCCCAGCTCCGGCTTCTGTCCTTCCTAGCTGGACTTCTGGAGGGACCCTGCCCGGGCTGGTGACCCCATCGATGTCCGAGTGCCCTTCCCCAGCCTCCAGTCTGTCAAAGCGTTCTTGGAATATCACGATATTAGCTATGAGATCATGATTGAAGATGTACAGTTACTGCTGGACGAGGAACAGGAAGAGATGTCTGCAGTGGCCAGGACCAGGACCCTGTCCACGGACACCTTCAGTTATGCCACCTATCACAGCCTGGACGAGGTGAGGGCTTGGCCAGAAACAGCACGCAGAGCAGGCTCAGGGCTGGCCTGGCTGTGGGTAACCCTACTTCACCCACACGTTCCTGTGGTCAGAGGTGAAGCCATGGCTCTACCAGGCTGCTGAGGCTTCTCTCCTTCTCCTTCTCATCCCAGATCTATGAATTCATGGACCTCCTGGTGGCAGAGCACCCACAGCTTGTAAGCAAGATCCAGATTGGCGACACCTTTGAAGGCCGCCCCATCTATGTGCTGAAGGTAAATGAGACCCGCGTGCAGACAAGGGCACACGTGCAGAAATGGACCCCCGTGTGGACCTCCATACAAGGGTGTGGGCTCTCGGAGATGCAGAATGGAGTGTCCTGCTCCCCACAGCCCCTCTGCAGCGGTTCACGAAGGCTGGAGCACTTGCACTGGCCTGGGCGGCCATACTCGTGTCTACAAAGTTTGAGGTGACACAAGCCAGTCAAACGCTGCAGTATGAGAGTATCATGGAATCTGGCACCCAGATAAAATGTTCTCCTGGTGACGTCCCACAGGGGACTACCTGAGCATCAGAACGGGGCCAGAGCAGGGAAGTCCAAGCTTTGTAGGGCCCTTGTCTGGCCCCTGATCCCAGAACTTCCCAAAGGAAGGTCCCACAAACATCCCCTCCCCCCATTCATATATACAGAGGGCAGCGGCTTCTGGCCCGGGCGGGCTCCCGTGCAGGGAGTGAACTGGGGCCTGGCCGGAAAGCTGTGTCTCATTTCCCTGCCTCTTCTGCAGTTCAGTACTGGAGGGACCAACCGCCCAGCAATCTGGATTGATACTGGCATCCATTCCAGGGAGTGGGTCACGCAGGCCAGCGGGATCTGGTTTGCCAAAAAGGTAAAGCTGGGTGGTAGGGAGGGCTCTGGTGTTCACAGGCCACGGGAGGCTGGACCATCCCTTCCCAGAAGCGATGGCCCCAAAGGAGGCCAGAGAATGTGTCGGTTGTACCAACATGGCGGATGGTCTGCCTCTCCCTCCTCCATCCACCAGATCACTAGCGACTACGGCCAGGACCCAGCCTTCACAGCCATTCTTGACAACATGGACATCTTCCTGGAGATTGTCACCAACCCCGATGGTTTCGCCTACACCCACAACACGGTACAGTTGCCTCTTGTTCCCTGGGACAGCAGGATGTAGCTCCAAGCCCCACATGTGCCCAGCCCCTGCTGGTGAAGGAAGCAGGCCTGTCCTCTTGGGAACTGGGACTCTCAGCCTAGGCACGGCTACCATCTTGGGTGGATGACTCTTTGCCATTGGGGGCTGTCTGTGCTCAGTAGCCCCTGGACTTACCTACTAGATTCCGCCAGCATCTCCACGTTCAGTCATGGCAGCACAGAACATCTCTGGACGCTGTAAATCCAACACTGTCCTCAGTTGAGACCCACGCTCCGGCCCTGATCTGCATAGCGTTTTTTATTCTACGGCAAATGCAGCAAGCTAGCAGTCCAGCTGTGCTGGCCTATCTTACCCTCTCTCCTTCCTCAGAACCGCATGTGGCGCAAGACTCGGTCACGCACACAGGGCTCCCTCTGCGTCGGGGTGGACCCCAACAGGAACTGGGACGCTGGCTTCGGGAGTAAGACTTCCTGTGGCGGGGTGGGAGAATGTGTCCGCCTTCCCTACCCCTCTCCTGACCCAGCCATGGGAGAGAAGGTGGGCTCTGCTGAGGGTTCTCTGGTGTGGAGGTGGCCCTCAGGCCACGGGCCTTGTTTGTAACAAGAAAGTTCCTTCTGGATGGAACTTGCTGGGGGTTGCGTAGCTTAGTCTCCAACTCCACTCAAACTGGGCTGGAAAAGGAAGCCGGGCTCCTCATGGCTTGATGGCAGGCACTCCTTAACCCTGGGAGGGGGGAGGCCTCCATGTCCCCTACCTCCCCTGCCTCTGGGATGTACACTGGAGGCCATGCCACATGGTGGAAGAACTGTCTCCGCTGCCTTCCCACAGAGGCTGGAGCAAGCAGCAACCCCTGCTCAGACACTTACCGCGGCAAGTTTCCCAACTCTGAGGCAGAGGTCAAGGCCATCGTGGACTTTGTGACGAGCCACGGGAATATCAAGGCCTTCATCTCCATCCACAGCTACTCCCAGCTCCTTCTCTATCCCTACGGCTACACGTCAGAACCGGCGCCCGACAAGGAGGAGCTGGTGGGTGATGGGCCTGACCCTTTGTCCAGGCTGCCTCTCGGGCCCCACTTTGAGAGACTTGGGTTCCACCCCTCAGGGCTGATTAAGGCTAAGGACCTACCAATGCGCCAGTGTCCCCCTCTCCCCTGTCTCCTGATGACTTGGGGGAGTCTGGCAGGATGGTTTATGTGGGCCGGCGAGGCGGACCTGCTCTATTTGCTGGGAAACAGAAGCATGAGTGTGGCACATGACAGGCAAGAGGCAAGGCTAGACCCTACATCTGCAGACTCATCCATCCATCCTGAGGAGACGGTGGGGAGGCCTGCTGCTGTCACACTCTCGGGCTCACCTGAAGGCAGCAGGGCTGACCTGGCAGAGGACACAGGCCCACCTATGCTGTGTCCGCTCCTGGGCCACCCTGGCTCTGCTGGTGGCATTGCTCAATGTTCTTTCCAGGATCAGCTAGCTAAGTCTGCTCTGACAGCCTTGACATCTCTCTACGGGACCAAGTACAAGTATGGCAGCATCATTGATACAATCTGTAAGTTTCTTGGGCCTGGGAGCAGCTGCCTCTTCTTGCCTCGTGTTCGGTGCCGGGAGCTACTGGCTGAGTCATTTGAAGGGTGGACAATGTCCTTTCCTGACATTGAACCCTGTCTTCTCTGACAGTTCATTAGGCTCCTTTGAGCATATCTGTTCTCCTATCTTGCCGTTCCATCTGGATCCCTGGATGGATGAGGTGGAACTCTGGTGGGCTTTATAGGTCTCCATAAAGTTTTGTTTAAGAAAGGCCTTTCCACCGCTTCCTTACAGGATAATGCTCCTACACATACGTGCACGCACACAGACCACACACGGAAGACCGTCAGCAGGGCATTTAGCGATACCTGCTCTGCACCAGGCCTCGGCTTGCATGCTTGGAATAAGGCGGGAAGAGTGACTGTGCTCAGGAGCCACAGTGGATCCGCTGATAGATGTGGGGGAAATAACAGAGTAGGGCAGGGGCATCGGGAGCACTCGGGTGGAGGGGAAAACCAGGGTAAGAAGAATCTGGGCTAGTGGTGAAGGAAATGAAGAAAAGCCAGGGAGGCCCTCTGTCTAGGGACTAGGCCTCCAGGCAGAAGAACCTTCTGGAGTGAAGGCTGAGCTCCTGTGAAGTGGTGTGGGGTGTTTGTCTCTGCCTGGCAGGCAGAGCTGGACGCAGGCATCAGGCTGGGAGATGGCACAAGCTCATGTCCCACGCCTCTTTGCTGAAAGGCTCTGACTCTAGGTGGGGTGTGGCCTCTAGGTGGTCTTACCCAAGGAGAAACTTGTCCAGATCCTAGGCTTTCTTTGGAAATGGTTTCCAGCCTGAGTCCAGTGGTTTTGCTGCACTTTGGGTCCCGAAGTGAAACTCTGATGTGAGGCCCACCTCCCTTTCCTAACGCGCAATTCAACAAAAGCAGCTTTGTGAGCCAGTGTGCACTGCAAACTTGGGAGATCTTCCCTCCCGAGGAAAGACAGACAGGCTTTATCCGACTGTGAATCTTTGCACTTTCCTCAGCAGACCAGAGTCCCTGGAGGTCAGTTCCTGGTCACCCAAGCAGGGGGCTCTGGCGTATTTAGCAATGTCATTGAGGTGACTGCTGGGCAGAGACAGTTTTCAGATGGGCTTTTGCAATTTCAGAGTTTTTGGCATTCTGCTAATGAATAGGACAGCCACCGCTGGTTGCTGCTGGACCATTTGGGCCTCTTGGGCCTAGGCCCAGCAGGAGTTTCCTGAAGCCCTCTGTGTGCCAACAGCAGCCCCAGAAGACAGAGCTATCTGGCAGGACACAGGCTCGGGGCTTTGGGTGCTAACTCAGCTCATCTTGCCAGCGAGCGAGCCTCACACTCTTCCCTGTGTCTCCCCCTCCCCAGATCAGGCCAGCGGGAGCACTATTGACTGGACCTACAGCCAGGGCATCAAGTATTCGTTCACTTTCGAGCTCCGGGACACCGGGCGCAGGGGCTTCCTGCTGCCCGCTTCCCAGATTGTCCCCACAGCGGAGGAGACGTGGCTGGCCCTGCTGACCATCATGGACCACGCCTTCAGGCACCCCTACTGAAGCAGCCCTAAGCCCCTGCCTCTTCCTTCTCCCAGTCCCATCTGGGCAACCCAATAAAGTCTGATTGTATAAGAAACAGGACCTCAGGGTCTGAGTGTGGAACGCACATGGCGTCCACATGTTTCACCAGGGCAGAAGGGACTTAGTTCCCAGAGGTCTCAACAGAAATGTGCAGGTGGTTGACCTCAATGACCCCTAAGTTCTCCTGCATTCCAGGGTCCCGTGAAGTTGCATCCAAGAGGCACTGGGGTGATTTGTTCATACTAAGGTATTGGCAAGAGCCACAGCTGCTACCCAAAAGCCTGACACCCCATGGTGAAGAGGGACTCGGAAAAGCAGCAGGGCAGCCGACTGCTTGCATTCATTTTTAAAGGCCTGCAGTATGGCGGAATCTAGGAATCCTGCTGAGCACTGCTCTCCAAAGGCCAGGGTGCGGTTGAGTCAGCTGGGTGACCAGCAGTCAGAATGCAGCCTCCCGCTCCTGAACGGCCCTGGAAGAAAACACAGAAGTGAAATGAAATCATTTCCGGACGATAAAGCCTGAGCACCCAGCCAGGGACACTTCGGAACTAGTGTGCTGGGGGCACCTCACCTGGCAGGATGGAAGCTGGCAGCTTGTTTGCCAGATCCCCCATGCGGTGCCCAGTGCATCCCTCTGCTGCCTCTTCTGTCCCCACCTTCCCGTGTTCCTGACCTCCCTGGGCATGGCGACCCTCGGGCTTGAGCCAGCACACTTACCAGCATGGCGACCCTCAGGCTAGCACACTTACCAGC